CAGAGTACTGTGTTTTCTTTCCATGTAGGTAGGAGTTTGGGGATGGAGAGAAGTGGCCTTATGGAGACGTATAGAGGAAAGTCAGTGACAGAGTCCCTGTGTATCAGGGGCCTTTTGTTACTCTAATGTAATAAACAGTTGGATTAATGATACTGTGTTTTTTGCTACTGATCTACTGAGAAGCCTAAAAAAAAAGCTAAAACAGTAAGCTTCAGTTATGGAGATAGTACCCGCCCCTAAACTACAAGATAAACAAAAATGAGATGTGCTGTACTATATTTATATTTTAAAAGATGAGGTTACTGTCCCAAATTAACCTCTCAGTGTCAGTGGGGTGTGGAGACATATTTTTGAGCCCTTCATCAATTCCTTGCTTCAAAAGACCTTAACCTCCTGCTTACTTAAAAGCTTCAAAGAGATTAGTAAAGGGCCCCCTTTTCTACAAGTACGTTGGACTGACCCAGCCCTCTGCCATTTACCTCAAAAGGTGAAGAACAACAGTGGCTTCCCTGCTCTCCACAGAGCTACAACTCGGACTCTCCATCTCGGCCTATAAAACAGGAAGAGTCATCACTTCCCTCCCTAGGGGCTCACAGAAGGCTTCATCAGCGCCCAGTGACAACAGAAATGTTAGGTATTTATAATACTCAATAGCGTGCCATGTCCGTGGGAACAGAGCCCAAGAGCACAGGGACTATGTTTTTAAAGTAGGATAGAACTGTGAGTGGAATAACTCCAATGGTGACTTCCCTCTCAAAATGTCAGAAAGAGAGATGGACAGATCCCCTCGAGGCCATGAGCCTGTCCATGCCCACCATCTTCCCCTCCGTTGAGGCTGCTTACTTTCTCCAAGTTGTCCCCTAAATGCTGGAGCCCCTCTAGAATCACCACTGGGCCACTTCTCTCACTCTGTATTCTCTCCTTGGGAGAACTCATCTCTCTCCTCACCTGGTTCAGTGATACTCATAACTCCCAAATGTTGGTCAATACTCAGCCCAGAGCCTCCTCCACCGTACACCTGTAAATCTACCTGCTCCCTTGACTGAACCTCCTGGACACACTGAATCTGCTTAAATTGAACATATTCTTTCCACACCTCCACCCATGCCTGTTCCCTCTCAGAGGCTCCTCACAGCATTGGTAATCCCTATCATCCTCCTTTTACAAGCAGGACCTCCAGGATGTGGTGATCTCCAAAATGTGGGTCTCTAAGATACAGTATATAATGTTAAGTAAAAAATAAAGGGAAAGTACAAAACTATGTTTAAGAATATGCTCTTTTACATGTTGAAAGGACTATAAATATAAATATACACACACACACACACACATATGCATAAATACAACACAGATATATGCATTTGTTTGTTTTAAAAAACAATAGACCATAATAATAAAGATAAATTACACCAATAAAAATGGTTCCCTATGGGAGGAGGAAGGGAATAGTGTAGAGGGTAATGAGATTAAAGGAAATGCCTACAAATGTACTTCACTATACAGTTTGACTTCTGAAAATGTTTTATATAAATGTTTCACATAATTTTAAAAACAAATTAAATCAAAAAGAAAAAAATCCTTAGAAACTAAAAACAAATAGAAGCAAACTAAACTAACTATATGACATAGCAGGAATATATCTATACAGAGAAGACCTTATTAAAAACAATATTCTGACTGAAACTCCCTACAGAAAAACATTCTTTTTGTTGGGCTGCTTTTAGGGACAGGATCTCACTATGTGGTTCAGGCTGGCTCAAACATGATCCCCCTTCCTCAGTCTCCCAAGTGCTGGGATTACAGGTATGAAACCACCATGCCTGACCACAGGGATATATTCTAATGCCTAAAAACCAAAAAGAAATGTTAAATTGTTAGTTGTAAATACAACATAATTATTTTAAACTATAGTTCATATACTATAGGTGAGAAGAATCGAGTTAACATTAAAAAGACTTCTATGCTCAGAAAAGCCTGCTGGAAGGTTGGCCCTTAATTGGCATCTGTAAACTTGGATTTCAGGAAGTTCCCACCATTCCCAGGACTGCTAAGAATGGCTCATTGTGCCCAAATCATTTCAGCAGACAATGCAGCTTGCATTGAACCATGTCTTCTTCTGGAAGTCTTTAATTTGGGTACATATAGGCAGTTGAGGCTTATGTGACCAGTCCCCTGTAAAAACCCTGGATACTGAGTCTCTAATGAGCTTCCTTGCTAGAAATCACACTGCATGATATCACTTCTTCACATGACTCCAACTGAGAGCAGCCTCAGAGGCCTTTCTGATTTTTCTCCAGTCTTTACTCCATGTACTTTTTCTTTCGCTTACTTTGTTTTGTATCCTTTCATTGTGATATATCGTATCTATGAGTCCTCCTAAGGAATTACTGAACCTGGGGTGGCCTTAGGGACTTCTGATACAGCAGGACATAGCAAATAAGTTATTTTGTTAATGTTACTAGGAATCAAGATTGCCAGCATAAGACAAAGAGATACAAAATACTAGTATAAAATCATGTAAATAGGCTGGATGCAGTGGCAAATACTTAAAATCTCACCTACTTAGACTGAGGCAGGAGGACTGCAATTCAAGACCAGCCTGGGCAACTTAGTGAAACCCTGACTCAAAGTAAAATTACAAGTGTTGGGGATGTAGCTCAGCACTCGAGTACTTGCCTAGCATGTACAAGGTCCTGGGTTTAATCCCCAGTACCACAAAATAAATAAAGTAAAAATAAAATCATATAAATAAAAACACTACAATCTTAAATTTGAATTGGAAATACCAGTATAAAGTCATGTCTTTTTTTCTTAAAAAATTGTTTATTTGCTATCTTTAGTCACTAAAAAAGCACAGAAGCAATTACAGCTCAATAGTGCTCATCACTTCTAGTGTCCCAACCATGGTCTTAAACACTACTTTCCAGCTAGAGACTTTTGAAGAAATAAAGTGATTCCAGAATTGTGTCAGGAAATGTTCAAATGAACCCAAGACATCTTACTGAGCCAGGAAGCAAGGAAGTTATCAAAGAGTTGAAGAATGATAAGAACAAAAATACAAACTTGAAGGTCTCCCACTAAAACAATGTAATCATTAAAAACTACACTAGAAGGGCCAGAGATTTAGCTCAGGGGCACTATGCCTGCCTCACAAGTGCAAGGTCCTGAATTCGATCCCTGGTACTGGGGGGAAAAAGAAACTAATTAAAACGCATCAAATATATACAAATATATTTCAAAAGCATATGAAAACCAAAGCTTCACTGGTCAACATCAGAAGTTTGTAGAGTTCAAACTCACTACTCTGAACATTGATAAAGAGAAAGAAGTAAGCACTTATCCTACTTTTTAGTATAAACGGCATTTTAGAATATCCATATAGGTGATGAGAAAAATTGTCTTTGTTGGAGAATTCCAGTTAATAGAGGGAAATGGCAAATCCTAAGTAATGATCATCAGTGGATTTTAAAATCATTTAGGTGACGGATGCACATTGAGGCCATACTCAAGTGAAATAAATAGGACACACGTGTAAATACTGAATAGTTTCTCTGGTATGAAAAACTGAAAGTATAAATAAGGTTCAAATGGTATAATAGATAATGTGAAATAGTAGGGGAAGTAGGAAGGGTAGGGAAAAGGAAAGAAGGGAAACAAAAAATATGAGAAAAGGAAAAAATGGAAACAAAGTTTTTGTAAATAGGGAAGGGTGGAGGGGTTGAAGGGAGGGCAGGGGAATGGGGAAAAAATAAGAACCAAGATGCATCATGTAAAGGTATAATGAATGTAACTGTACCATATACCTAAAATGTACCAATAAACTTAATGGAAAAAAAATAAAACCATTTAGGTGAAAGACTGATAGGGGATTTTATAAAGGATAGATCAGGGGACACCACTTGGCTGGCTAGAACGGTGATAGTGAACCTTTTAGAGAAGTGTTGGTGAATCAAAGGCACATGCCACAGTGGGCTAGTGCAACACGCATGCCTAGATTCACCACCACTGCTCTAGAATCTCTAATAGAATGTGTGGCAGCCAGATGCCATGTACCTGCTGACATGTAATAGAAAGTACACTGCACCAACCATAAGGTATTTGCACCAAATAGCCTGCCCTAATGGGACTTGGGCTCTACATGGAACTTCCTGTGGGTTGGACACGTGGCAACCAAGAAATATGTTAGATGAGCCCAGAGAAAAGCAATCAGCCAAATCCTGGGATGCTTGTATCATAAATGACAAAGACTTGCTTTCTCCAACAAATCAGTGGAATGCTGTCCTCACCCTTTCAGAGAAATTTAGGAGGAGAGTATGTGCAAGACTGGGCAGAACAAGAGTGCTACAGAAGAGTACTTATGAAATGAGTCAAAACAACAAAAAATGCAAATCTGATCACTTCATTCCCTGTCCACACCCCAAGCTCCACCTCTCACCACGCCCTGTCTGTATTCTGACACAGTTACTTTCATCAATCCCTTGAACTAGACTGTTCCTTTATTGCTCAGGTCTCTTACATAGGCAGGTCCCTCTCCCTGGAATGCTGTCTCTTCCCCTCCCTATTTCACCCAGAAGAAGCATGCTCATTCCTTCCTTTGCAGCTTAAACACTGTTTCCTCGGCAATGGGTGCCACCCAGCCACTGGCCTAAGGTATGATCAGATCAGGTCCCCTGGATCTTTGTCATACACCCTCACTGTACTCTGTGCTCCCGTGGGAGAAAACGCATTTTGTTTACATTTGCCTCCTCCCCAAGGACTAGAAGCAAACACCTCATCTGTCATTAATCTAACACATAGTAAGCACTAAAAATCTTAGTAGATCTTTGAATAAATCAAATATTATTCATGGAGTTCAATACACCAGATGAGAATTCTGGAACACACTAAATCAGTAAGACCCAGAATCATCTCTGCTGATCTTGTCTGTGGTGACATCAATGTTAGTACCTAGAACTTAGCCTGGCACTCTGAGTACTCACGGCTCACAGGGAATAACTCACCACTTCGTAGGACTTGGGAATGGGTATGATGATGGCCAGCACGCAGATGAGCTGGAAGATGGCCCCCAGGAAGAGTCCATACCGCAGCAGGTTCTCCAGGAAAGTGGGCTCAGGCACCTCAGGAGGAGAGAAGTCCAGGTCAGAGGCCATGACCCAAGCTGTCTGCTGCTTGAGGTCTCCTTTAATTTACCACTCTCTAGAGCCAACTCCTAAATGTAAAGAGTTAAGTGTCATGTTTCTACAATGGACTTTAAATGGCCCCTCCTAAACACACACATATACATACTTCAAGAATATATAAAGCAACTGTGGTGAAATGTTAACAATTCTTAAATCTAATTAGAAAATACACAGATACTCAGGGTAACATTCTTTCAACTTTTTTATATGTTTGAAGTTTTCCAAATATAAAGTTAAGGAAAATTAGTAAATGAAAAGGTAAACTTTCAATGAAAATCTCAAATCAATATACATTTATAGAAGGCCTGCTATGTTTGTTTTATTGATCTATTTATTTATTCATCTAGTCATTCACTCAACAAATACTTATTGAGTACTAAGCACTGAAGAGTGAGCAAAAAAGACAAATTTCTGCTCCCTCAGGATTCCTGCTCAGGATGAAGGCATGAAACACTTAAGAAGGAGGGCATCACTTTACTTCATATGATGTGACAGAAAATGCCTCTTTGAAGAACAGAAATGAGAATGGACAGGGCAGAGATATGACGTGAAGACAGAGCCATCTGCTGAGGAACTCCAGGAACAGAGAAAAGTGCAGAGGCCCAGGGTGACCAATATGGCCAGAGAGGCGTGATCAGGAGGGAGAATCAAAGCAGGCAAGATCAGAGGGGAGCTGAGACAGATTTTGTAGGACCCGACACTCATTATTTGTTGGAGTAAAATGCAAAGGCACTGAAGGGTTTTAAGCAGAGAAGTGACATAATTACAACATTACATTCTTAATAGGGAAAGGACACCACAAAAAGAGGGCAGAGAAGACAAAGCAAGACCAGTGAGGACGCTACTGCTAGTAACCCAGACAAGAAATCCTGGAGGTATGAACAACAGGGGCAGTGGTGGCAGGTCCAGCTTCTGCCCATCTCTCACTTTCCTTTCATCACCACCACTCTCACTCCTAGTACTGCAGCTGAGCTGAAACAACTGCTCTCATTCTCTAAGAGCACTGAGCTTTGCCACACACCCCTGGGCCTTTGCCTAAGTTGTACACTCTGCCAAAAGGGGCCTCTCCCACTGCTTCTGAAGCTGCCATTCTACCTCCAAGGCTGAGCTCAAGGGTCATCTCCCTCCAACATTGCTCACCCGCCTCTTCCTCCTGCCCCAGCAAGAATGAACTATTCCTCTTCCACCACAGCACACACGAATGGTTTCTCTCTACCCCAATAATAAAGTGACAAACACACTGGGCGCATCCGAACCCACAACCCTTTGTGTTTTCAAAGATCTGTGTCACATGCAGTTTTTGACAAATTGAGCTATCCAATGTAGTGGCTATCCATGAGCCACCTGTGGCTATCTGGATTTGAAATGAAGCTTGTCTGAACTGAGATGACTGGTAGGATAAACACACACTCAATTTCAACGACTCCGCATGAAAATAAGAATGTAAAATATCTCACTAATGTTTTTAGCCCAGCATGGTGGTGTACACCTGTACTCCTAGCTCCCTGGGAGCCCAAGGCAGGAAGATTTCAAGTTGAAGACCAGCCAGGGCAATTTAGACCCTGTTTCAAAGTGAACATTTTTAAAAGGCTGGGATGTGACTCAGTGGTAAAGCACTTGCCTCAACATGCGCAAAGCCCTGGGTTCAATCCTCAATAATATAGATGAATATATACATATATGTATCAATTACATGTTGAAATGATACACTAAATTAAATTACAATACAAAGAACAAAGATGAATAACTGAAACTCTAAGCTTTCAAAACTGAACTACAGAGTTACAGTAATCAAGACAGTGTGGTATAAGCAGATAAGAATATAAACCAAGACAGTAGACAAATAGAACAGAGAGTTCAGAAATAAATACTAAAATACAAGTGATTTTCAAACAAACAACCAAGACCTTTTCTTTCTAATAAGGAAATGGCAGTCTTTAACAAATGCTGCTAGGAAACTGGATATTCATGTGCAAAAAAATGTAAAAACTCAAAATGGATGAAAAATCTAAACCATACAACTATCACAAGAAAGCATAAGGAGAAATCTCTATCACATTGGATTTAGCAATGATCTCTTGGATGTGAAATCAAAAGCACAAGTAACAAAAGAAAAAACAAACTGGACTTCACGTCAAAATTAAAATTTTGTTGGGCATCATGGCATTCACCTGTAATCCCAGTTCTAAGGAGGCCAAGATAGGAAGATTGCTGTGAGTTTCAGGCCAGCCTGAACTACAAAGTGAGAGCCTATCTCAAAAATAACAATATAAAAATGTAAAAGTTATACACAAGAGGACATGATTCAGGACCGGGGATTTGGCTCAGTGGTGCTGCCACCTGCCTCACAAGTGCGAGGTCCCGAGTTCAATCCCCAGTACCCCCCCCCAAAAAAAAGGACATTACTCAAGAGTGTGAAGTATTTAGAATATACTTATGATATATAAAGAACACACATAAACTCACACACCATCACCACCACCACCAAAACAAAAACAAAAACCTACAACCCAATTTAAACACAGGCAAAGGATATATGCTACAACATGGACAAACTTTGAAAATGTTGTAAAATTTAAATTAAAAAAATAAGCCAGCCACAAAAGGACAAGTATCCTATGATTCCATTTATATGAAGTTCCTAGAATGGGCAAATTCTGAGAGACATACAGAGGCTGTCTGGAGTCAGCAGAGGGAATTACTCTAATAGCTATACTGTTTGGGAAGATGAGTTCTGGAAATAGTGGTGATGGTCATACAATAGTGCTACTGAATTTTATACTTGAGAATGGTTAAAATAGTAAATTTTAGGGTTAAGGGTATATCTCAGAGGTAGAGTGCTTGCTTTCCTAGCACGCATGAACCTCTACGTTCTATCACCAGCACAGTCCAGGGTGGCCTTAAATCCTCTTTCCTCGGCTTCCCAAGCATTGGGATTACAGGCATGCACCACCACACTGGTCCTGTTATTTATATAACACAACTAAGTGAACATTTTCACCTGCTTTTCATTTTTTACTTTTTAAATGTAGGTATTAGAAAAGTTTTAAATTACACGTCCTATATTTCTATATATAGGAAATGTATAGAAATATATGGATGGCCCCAAACACAATGGACTGTCTGAAAGACCTTCGTCTACCTTAAGCTGCTACTTCTCTGCTTTGCAGTTTTCTTCCAACATGAAGAATGACTGAATGATAATAAAAATTATCTACTAAGTAAACAGAGTGGGATACATATAAATGTTATTTCTCTTTCAACTGGTCACTTTGGAAGGCCATGTGATTGGGCCAGAAGAGTAGCTACTTTTCATACCAGTTTTGTCTATGCTGGAAATAGCTTCCAAAGCCTGCAGCCCATTTTTTTTTCAGAATGCTTAGAGCTGGCAGATCTTCATCCTCCCAGGAAGAATCTGAGTTCTGGAAAAAGCCCAACATCATCTGGTTCCAAGTGTGGTGAATCAGGTGGGGCATCATGCTCAGGAATACCATTTTTGGTCAAATACAAGGTATGACACTCAGACTCCAGAGAGATTGTTTGGAGTGGCTCATAAACTGGCCCTAATGTAAATTCCACAGCAGCTGCAAGAACAGCTTCCCTGGAAGAACCATCCAGCCCCTACAAGGCACCAGCACATGAACACCAACACTGAAATAAGCGGTCTTAGCTGGGCTTGGTGCACACCTGTAATCCAGCACTCTGGGAGGATGAGGCAGAAGAATCCAAGTTCAAGCCAACCTGGGTAATCTAGTGACTTAACAAGACCCTGTCTTGAAATAAAAAATTGAAAAAGGGTAGGGGATATAGTTTAGTGCAAAGGCCCCTGGGTTCAATCCCCAGTATTTATTTATTTATTTATTTATTTATTTATTCATTCATTCATTCATTCATTCATTTATTATTTTTTGGTACTGAGGATCAAACCTGGGTCCTTGCACTTGAAAGGCAGGCAGCAGAACCACTGAGCTAATTCCCCAGCCCAATCCCCAGTATTCAAAAAAAATAATAAAGAGCAGTCTTGTTTCTTCAGTTGAACCTTATAAAGTAAAATGCCCTTGGTCCCAAGCTTTATCCTTATAGTTGTAAATACTCAAGATTTATTAGTGCTACAAAAGCAACGTAATTATGAATATTGGGGGAGGTACAATATGGCTGGACATGGGGAAGGGGTGAAAGGTGAAGGCGGCAGCACACAGAGTCTATCAGCAGGTAGCTAGACTTTAGGCTGATCTCTTTACAACTTACAGACTCAACATTCTCCTGAGCCAAACAACATCCATTCAAAGCTATAATACATTTAGGCTTTTTTTTTTTTTAACTGACAATTAGGCAATAAATAACAAAAAGTGTAAGAGTGATTATATCCTTTCACTGAGTAACTTATTTCCTAGAATTTATACTAAGGAAACAATTCAAAAGAAGAAACAGCTTCTGAAAAAGTTCATGGCAGTGTTATTCATAATACTGGAAAACAGGAAGGAACTCATGTTCAAAAATGAGGCAGTTAACTCAGTTATGGTATATTATGGTTTTAGTCTCCCTTCACTAAAATGGCAATATAAATGGCATATAAACACTGTGTTACCAGGTGAGTGGGAAGACTATATATATAATATTATATATAATATATATATAATATATAATTTTATATATATAATACTAACTGAAAAAAGTAAACAACTGGATAAGCACTGTGATGCAACCATGTATAAACTGATTTCCTTGGATAAAGATCAAGACACCATAATAAATAGCTGCTAGTAAACTGGAGTCCTAAGCTTTAATTTTGTTATGTTATTGAAACAATGAATACAGTTTAAAAGAAAAATCTATGTCCTATCTACTTCCTTCTAAAGACTTTTAATAGCGTAGAATCAAGTACAGTCCAATAAAACTTTTACTGATGGAAATGTTCTATATTTGTGCTCTCCAAACAGCAGCCACTAGCCATGTGGCTACTGAGTACTGTTTTTTTGTTTGTTTGTTTATTTGGTACCAGGGATCAAATTCAGGATATTGCGCTTGCAAGGCAGGTGGCAGAACCACTGAGCTAAATCCCTGGCCCCCAAATACTGTATTTAAATGTGGTTACAGAGGAACTGAATTTTTATTCTGAATTTTACTTAGTCTGTGTGTGTGTGTGTGTTTGCACGCGCACATAGGCATAGTACTGAGGATTGATCCCATGACCTTGTACGTAATAGGCAAGTGCTTTACCACCGACTTACATCCCCAGTCCTGAATTTTGACTTTAATGAACTATAGTCACATGTGGCCAAAGGTGCCCTATTACCAAGCACAGGTGTTAACAGGGAGACTGCACAAAGGTTCTAAAAAAAATAAAATGCCCTAGACATACTGTATATGCTTCAAAGCCCTCTAGTTTCATTTTCTCTACACCTCTGTGCTTTACTTCCCAGACCACCTGCCAGTAGTTCTGAGTTTTCCTTTCCTCACTACAGGAAGTCACAGGAGTCCTAAACATCCTTCAGATCTCAAAAAGAAAACACCAAGGTTCCATTTTCTGTGGTAACTGCTTTTATTGTTGTTTTGTTTGTTTTTGTTTTTGTTTGGGGAGGTACTGGTGATTGAACCCAGTCTTTTGCACTGAACTACACTCCCAGCCCTTTTATTTTGAGACAGGGTCCCCCTAAGTCACTAAATTAACTTAGGTGGGGCTCAAAATCATGATCCTATGTATCAGCCTCCCAGACTACTAAGATTACAGGCATGGGTCACCACACCTGGCCCTATGACAAGCTTTGGTCCTCATGACCCCTGCTGCTTGAGCATCAAGCAAATCATTTGCCAGGTGCTGTGCACTGTATTTTACAGTCAGCCTCTCACTGACTTCTCAACCACTCTGGGAGTCGTACTGTTGAGGTTCAGGAACTAAGGCCTGGAGAGGTTATATGGCCTACCCAAAGGCTACTTGGCTAAGTGGCAGTGAGGATTCAACCTAACTGGCTCCTCCAAGACCAGAGCTCCCATCCACCAGGTCAATGGTTTTCAAACTGCAGGCTGTGGGCCTTCAATGACCTACGGAAACCATTTAGAAGGCTGCATCTAGCACTAATGTTATTAGCCAACACAGAGACCAAAACCTAAGTATATTTCTTCTTGTTTGATAAATACTATGCTACAGTCTACTATTTTACTTGATCCACTGTAATCTAAATAGGGACCCTGGGTCCCTCTTAAATTTATCCCAGTGCCTGACTTATAAATATAAGGCAAATGATAAAGCTTATGCCCATTTCCCACCTCAAAACAAAAGCAGACACCTCAACAAATTGCAGCAGTTAATGAGGGGCTGCCAGTAAATCCAGGTAGAATCTGGGTAGGCCTGACTATTGAGCAATGTCTCTAGCCCTATGATATACCAGACATACTGGTGGTCAGAGGTTTTCATATTAGAAGACTCTCAGACCTCTATCAGAATGAAGTAAACTGTGCATACTCATTTATTACCAAACACAGCAAATCATCTCATGAGGTTACTGGACCCTATAAAGCTCATTCCAGAATGCCAGCTACTGGTAGCCTGAGACATTTATTCACTGGATATTAAGTATCCATTATGTGCAGGACACTATTCTATTCCCTGACATGGAGTTTTTACCCACATGAAAATACTCAAACACACACTCACACACACACTCACTCACATGCACACAAATGACAGAGATATTATAAGAAAATATAAAAGCAGGAGGGGGTGCTATTTTATATGAGATGTTCAGGGAAGGGCCTCTCTGAGGTGACATTTCAGTGAGATAAGCAGCAAGAAAAAGGAGCTCAGTGGTTGAGCATGTGCTTAGCATGTGCAAGGCCCTGGGTTCAATCCCCCCACACCACCAAAAATGAAAGGAAGTAATTTAAATATCTGGTAGAATATCCCAGCAGAAACAGCAAGAGAAAAGATCCCAAGACAGAAATAAGCTTCACAATCAAGAACAGGAGAGTAAGAAAGCTACACAGGGTATGTGGATCATCGTAAGAACTTTAGCTTCTTCTCCCAAAGAGAAGCTACTGGAAGGTTCATAGCAAATAATCTCCATGTTCTCTCTGGCTATTGCGTTTTGAATGACTGTAGAGAGAAAGAATTGGAAGCAGGAAATTTATTATAATGGTCAAAACATACTTAGACAAAGGGGGTAACAATAGAAGTGGCAAATATTCAGATTATAGATATATTGTAGAGTACCAACAGGACTCAGCTGAGGTAAAATGTGAAAATTTAAAATAATCTCTAATGGAGGAGAAACTATTGTGTATGATAAGGTAATTGTGAGTAGAAGACATTAAGCATTTTTCAAGACCCATAAAATTTTATAGCACTAGGAATCAATTTGAATGTATGTGAATGTTTTAAAATCATAGGTCCCAATATCTCAGGATGCACTACAGACAGTGACATTATGAACCTCAATGTATTTTAAACAACATCACTGAAGGGATAGAGGTAATAGAATGCTGACCTAAATAACTTTGGAAATGAGAGTGGTCTATAAAAGTAAAGGCAAAATGAGCTGTACATATGAACAATACTCTAGTTGATAAAAGTTGCTTCCCATAGGGAGACATAGTTAAGCTAAACCACTATCCCTGTACACCAGAATTAACATATAAGTAAAGAGATAGAGGATGTCATGTTTATCAGAGGTAGAGTACAGAGGGTACAGGTAAACAAGAAAAGGAAGCTAGTAAAATTCATGTCAGAATGAATGAGTTAGAGACATGAGTATGTTCAATTTAATACAGCTACAAGTAGCTACATACAGAAATATCTACAGATGTGTGTGTGTGTGTGTGTGTGTATACATATATATCTCTTGCACTGTCCACTGAGAGGGCCTAAAAGCAAGAACACCCCAGTAGCAATGAACACACTTCATGCCCAGGTCTTAGTTTCTGGGCCATTCTCCAATAAAAGGAACCAGAGCTCCTTGAAAAATGGCAATTCTACTAGGATGGGGGCAGAAATAGGGTGAGTGTGGAACAGAAAGTATGAAAGTGCCTGAGAGAACAAAGCAAATAAAAATTGCATGTACATATATGCTAAAAAGAAATCCACTATTTTATATACCAGTGTGGCAAACCTATGGCACATGTGCCACCAAGGGCTGCTTTTATTATTGAAATCTCTAAAAGGTTCAGCACCACTGGTACAGTCATTAGGGAAAACTGAGTATGGATTTTAGTTCATAATAATATACCAATATTAGCTCAATAATTTAACAAACTACCATATGGGAACTCACTGCAGTATCTTCACAATAACTGTAAATCTAAAATTGTTCTAAAATAAGATTTAGAAAATAGCTTAACATTTCAAAATAAATAACCATGGAGACATGTATAGTTCTCAAGAAATATCCTCTAAGAGTGAAAAAGCCATATTCCAAAACTGCCAGAGGCAACATGAAACAGAATATACCATTTTTAAATTATAAAAGAAATTCCATTTGATTTACATAAACCAAGACAAGTCTAAGTTTTCTAGGCTATTTAATCAAGTTACAATGTACACATTCCTGAGTATATCCCATTGTGACACTGTTTATTTTGAAATTTTTCTGCATTCAGCTTTAAAGATGTTTCTTCCCAAGAAATTGAACTTTTCTGTCAAATGCACTTGACCGAATAGGAGAGTTAGGTTCATAAAAAGGATTCATTGCAAACTTCATATATAAATCATAGACATCAGTAAAGAAGTTCTTTATTCCATCTTCTTGCCTTATATCATGAAGCATAATAAATCTCATATGGCCTGCAGTAACAAATGCCGACACAAACCACTCATTGAATTTGTCCACAGTTTTCAGGTACATGTTGTTTGAAAGCCACATGTTTTCATCCACAAGGTCAAGAGCAGCATGAGCTATGAACTGATTCAGATGACGATGATCATCTTTGGATTCTGTTTTCCCAGGTGGCAAAAATTCCATTTCAAAAATGGGATTATCATGGTGGCCAACAATTACAAAGTAGAAGCTTCCAGACATCGTCTTTAGTATATGGTTCCTGTCTTGAGATGCTGACAACGGAAACGCCCAGTCAATTCTCGGGGCTGAGACTCACACTCCTCAGTTTCGGCCTGGACACCAGGAGCAGTCCTCACGAGACCTGCTGTGACCATTTTTAAAGTATGAGGTTTTTTGTTTTGTTTTGTTTTAAGACAAGTCTACGTAGTTCAGGCTGGCCTTGAATTCTTAGCGACCCTCCTGCCTCAGCCTCCCAAGTCCTGGGATTACAGGTGTGTGTCACCATACCTGGCTTAAAAAGTGTGAGATTCTACACTGTACTTCACACTGTGTGAGAATTATATATCCATGGAAGATACATTCCAAGACCCCTAGTGGATGCCTGAAACCATAGATAATACTGAATCCTAAAATATACTGTTTCTTCCTCTGTAAAGTTTAATGTACAAATTAGGTACAGTAAGAGATTTACAACAATAATAAAATGCTACAATTATAACAATATACTGGAATAAAAATTATGTGAATATGCTTTCAAAATACTTTCTGTACTTACCCTTTTCTTGCGATGTCATGATATACTGCCTACATGATGAAATGAAGCAAGGTGAACGGCACAGGTACTGTAATGGGGCCAGGCTATCACTGACCAGAGCAGATCAGAAGGTCCATCTACTTTGGGGATCCTGGACCACTGAGCTACATCAATGTGGATGACTGGATATCAGGAACAAATACTGCTGATGGGTGGGAACCCCCTAAATTTAAAGGCATTTTTGTGGACATATTCTGGAAGAACAGTAATGGGAAGTTATCTTTTTAACTCACCAAAATGTTGCTGTAAAGGCTATAATCCTTCAGTGATCATCTGGAGGACTTTAACACTGCATTCCATCCAAGGATGGTATTCCCTAATTGAATCCTTTTCTGTCTAGGAAATCTGCAACACTTCAGGAAATTTCCCTAAGGTTCACAGTGTTTGGGCTTCAGTTTCTTATCTTCCCTATCTCTGCAGAAGACAATTAGTTTTTCAATTCTACAACTGTTAACACTTCTGCATGGCTTTAAATATATTCTTCCACTTCTGCTGGAAATCCTTTAATATGCTTTTCCACTTCTACTAGAAATGTGCAGAAGCTTCTTCAGCAGAGGATGCAGCCTCTCCAGTAATTTCGTTTTTCAGTTCTAATCTATTCCTGAACCAGCACCAGTTAATTGTAGTAAATGGCTTCACAGCACTTGTTTCAAGGGCTCCCTTGCTGAAGTTTCCAAATATGCTCAATGCTTTCTGAAGCAACACATTTCCATCAACTGGAACACATGTTCCATTTATGTCTTCCACCCATAAATTTAATGTCTTCTCCAACTTATCTAAGCACCTATCATTCACTTTGGTTGTAACTTTTGCAATTTGAGGTGTGCCTGCAAAACCAGCACGGAGTTCCTTTTACCTTCTTCATAATCATTCTTAAGATTTTAGCAACATCGGCATATGATTTTTTTTTTCCTAATTGTCAGAACTTTCACCTTTTCACTTAAAGGAAGGAAGCACTTTCCATCTTTTCTTTGGTGTACTCAAATTGCTAGCATCACTACTCTTGAGCTTGGGACCCATTACAAAGAAAAATAAGGGTTACTGGAACATAAGCACTGGGGTACTGCTTTGTTGATCTGATAACAGAGACGGCTACTAAGAGACTAATGAGTAGGTGACATAAACAGCATGGATCTGCTGTACATAGGGATGACTGAAACTCAAGGTAGGCCAAAGGAAAGGCTCAAGACTTCATCATGCTACTCAGAATACAAATTAAAAACTTATTAGCTGTTTACTTGGGGAGTTTATCCACTTACTATTTTCAGACCACAGACAAGAGAAACAGCAGTAACATAGTGGGAGTCTACTATACTTAAGAGAATCAATTCGCCTCAAACACGCTGACCACCCGAAAGCACTTTACATTCACTGTCTCGTTTCATTCTCAGGACAAGTCTATGCGCGCAGAAAATGAGAACCAAAGGAAAGACGACTTGCCCAGCTCTCACTAAGCAATACAGGGCAAACTCGGGAACACAGCCGCGGCCACAATGACTGCCGAGCTCGGGTTCCCCCTGCAGAAGGAAAGGCCGGGACGTGACCGTGGAGCCCGAGTTCAGGCGCAGGCTCCGAACTAAAGGCTGGACGGCACCAGGCGAGGCCTTCCGCCTATCCGGAATTCAAACTTTCCACGGCAACTGACTTCCCACCGAATGCCTCGGGAAGTTATTCACGCCTCCTAAGCAGCGCGGGTTGCGGCACCAGAACCCACCCTTTCCTTCGGTTCCCTCTGCGGCTCCAACTCCGCCCCGCCGGGAATCGCCGGTCAGCTGCGGGGACCTCAGCACATACCTCCTGCGCCGCCGCGCCGCTCCCCGGAAGTAGTTCCTCAAGACCCCAAGTTCCGGAAGTGACGCACTCAAGCGACCCGCGGCCTCAGTTCCTTCCGCGTTGCTAGGTTTTTGGCGAGTTTAGATTTTAGCGGCTGCTCCTTGTTGGACTTTTGTCCCCTACTGTGTGATTTTTTTTTTTTTTTTGAGCCGCACAGAGACTTTTAGGGAAGAGAGATCTAGACTCCCTCCATTTCCAAACCCTTTATCATTTAGCACCGTCAGCAAACGTTTGTAGAAGCCTTGCCAGGCTATGATGGGAAACAAACAGAAACTCTTATTATAATTCAGACAGAAGTAAATCATCATACTTAGTTTTGTTTTTTTTTTTAATCCACCAAGTTATAATCTGTTGGCGGGAAGGAGAAAGACAGTAAAATAAGTAATTGTGGAATCGTGATGACAAAGACAGTAGTATGAGAATGGGTGGCAAGTAGCTGAGGGTTTTTGAAAAAGACCTGGTTTATTTCGATTATGGTGACCAGTCTCCACCATGGACTAGGATAGTTTTTGGCTCCTGATACACCCTTTGTAATTCCCTTGCACCCCGAATAATCCTGACCAATGGTGAGATACCGTGGAGCATGTGTTCTAAGATTAAGTCAGAAAAGACACTAAACTTCCTCTTTGCTCTCTCTTGTTCACTCATGGTAAATCCTATGCTGCGGGAACACCCAAACAGCCCTAGGGGGAAGCTCACATGGGTAGGAACCACCTAGTATTCTGCAGGCTAAATTCATGAGCCATTTTGAAAATCCAAACTCAGTTCAGATGACAGCAGTCCTGACCAAAGTCTTAAATATAATCTTATGAAACACTTTGAACTGCAAACACCTAGCAAAATCACTCACATTACTGACTCACAGAAATTATAATTATACAAAAATTATAAACAATATTATTGATTTAAGCTCCTAAATTGCAGAGTAATCTATTATGCTGATATAGGGTAAATAGAACTACCAACTTGCCAGGTGTCAGATACACCAAGTCTGTGTCCCCAGAAATCAAAGAATGAATTTTTAAAAAATTTTTTTCAAGGAATGAATTCTAAAGAACAACAGAGGTTAAGAATAGGAAAGATTTATTGAGAGAGATTACTCCTGAGAGGAGGGGACTGGGAAATGGGTTGCCACAGAGGCCACTTCTCTAAGAATGTTTTATACAGCAAAACGACGTGGGTACAAAAATCACAATGTGGGTCAAACCATATTCAACCAGTAAGAGTATAAGTATAGCCACTTAGCTAATATTGATCCAACAGGGAAGCAAGTCATGTAGCAAAGGCACGTGGAAGGAACAAAGGCATTTTAGGAAGGGGTGGGTCCAGATAGCTGTTCTTGTCCTCCATCTGGGTGCCTGATGTCTATCTGGACTTTACTAGACCAGGTGATACCAATTATAGGATAATCTGAAGTTATTGCCAATCTCTCAGGGAGGTATGTAGGCATAGTCTTTCTATCTTTATCTTGAGACCTGATCTTCAACAGATGCACCTCCAGCCATACTTGTGATGTGTTCTCATCTTCTGTACTGGCTCAGTCAAGGGCCTAACCCTGTCTGACTTCCTATAATATTTCTACCTAACTTAGCTGCCTATAATAATGCCTCACACATAACTAATAGAGGATGACAAAGAAGAGTTGGATGCTAGAGATTCATAAAAGAATGAGACCTAGCTAACCCTCAAGGAACTTGTGGTCCCTTGGAGGACAGAGGCAAAAATAATCATAATTTATTCAACATTCACTAATCTCACACTGTAAAGTAGTATGGTATATCCAAAGATGCAAATTCACTTAACAAATATGTGTGGAATTTCTGCTCTGGCCGATACATTATGACACTGGGAATTCATTGGTGGGTAGGCGGGTCATAACCTTCATTGTGCTTTCAGACTGGGGATTACTAATGCCGACCACCACCACCAATCATTCACACAGATAAATGTATACTTATAAACTGTGAAACATTTTGAAGGGAAATCATAAAAGAACAAATAACATGAGGAAGATACACTTAAGAGCGGGTGATCAGAGAAAGTTTCTCTGAGGACGTAACATTTAAGGTAAGAAATGAAGAGTGAATAGGAATTTTCCAGGCAAAGAGAGGAAGAAATAAAAACAAAATGGGGGAGATGGGAAAGGCTGGGCTGTAGGAAAAGGTTTGGAACATGGGGGTAGAGGGGGAGAAATGGAACCCTGAAAGGAACACATATTTAGGATACAACTTGGTATTTGCCTTAGAAGAGCCCATATAGGGTATTTGAGGACAGTTTTTCATGGGTTGAATTATGTCCTCCCCAAAAGATATCCTAACCTCAGTTACTTCAAAACTGTGACCTTATTCAGAGTTAAGATCTTTTACAAATACAGTCAAGTTAAAATGACATTAAAATGGGGCCTTGTCCAATATAGAAGGTGGAGGACAGCATAGTTCACACATAAGAATGGCCTCCAAAGATGAAGGCAGACTTTTATTAGTACATGCTAGAAGTACAAGGTTATGTTCATCATGGGAAGTTGGTACATGTACATAACACATCTTTATTTCTTTTACTTCTCCTTCCCCTCCCTCCCTGTCCCTTCCATCTCTAGATCCCCTTCCCATTTACAAAATATCAGTATCCCTGTTTCCTATTATCTACCTTTTATTTTGCTCTTTAAATTATTTATATTGGATTTCTAATAGAAAAAATACAATATTTAAGCTTGTGTGTCTGATTTATTTCTCTTAACATTATGATCTCGAGGTGCATCTATTTTCCTACAAACAACTCAAATTTATCCTTTTTTGGAGAGAGTAAGCACTCCATTGAGTGTAAATACCACATTTTTTTTTATCTATTCACCTGTTTTCAAGATTTAACTATTGTGATTGTGCTATAAAAACTTTATGAGTTGGCCGGGCATGGTGGCACACACCTGTAGTCTCAGCACTTCAGAGGCTGAGGCAAGAGGATTGTTGTGAGTTCGAGACCAGCCTGGGCTACATAGTGAGTTCCAAGTCAGTCTCAACTACATAATGAAACCTTATCTCAAAAAAAAATTATGTGTTGTGTTATACGCATGCTATAAATATGGCTGTGCATGTGTCACTTTATATGATGTCTTTACCTCTTTAAGGACGATGTCTAGAAGGGGAACATCAATGGAATTTCTATTTTTAGCTTTTTGAGGAATTTTGTATTGATTTCTAAAATATTTGTACTACATTCCCACCAACAATGTAGAGAGCTTCATTTTTCCCCACAGCCATGCCCAAAACATCTGTATTATTTGATTTCTTGATCACAGCCATTCTTTCTGGAGTGAGATAGAATCTCAGTGTTGTTTTATTTACATTTCTCTAATGGCCTGAGATGATTAACATTTTTTCATGTATTATTGGCCATTTGTACTCCTGATAAGCATTTACTCATTTTAAAATGCCATTTTTATTGGATTTTTTTTTTTTTTTTTTTTTTTTTTTTTTTTCATTTACAACTG